TCGCGGCTGATCGGCGAGGTCGGGCGGGCGGGCGCACTCGATCCGCTCGAGTCCTTCTCGCCGGAAATCCCCACAGGCGAGAGAGCAATCCGCTTATCCTACTCCTACTCAAACACGACGCCGGCTCCTGCCTCCAGCACGCAACGCAAGCCTCTCCTCGGCGGCCCAGTGGCTCGGTTGGTTCCCTTTTCTTACTACCAAGGCCCGCGGGCCGCGACTGACAGGTGGGCCCGAACATCTGACAGGCCGGGAGCTTACAGGGTGGGGCTCGCGGTGACGTGACGGACACAGAGGAAGTTTTCAGCCGCTTCGCTAGGGTTTGGGCGCGCTTGTTTCCCGCCGCCTCCGCCCCAAAAAAGCGAGCAACAGCCGACGCCTCCCCCTCCTCCTCCTCACCCACGGCGGCGAGCGCGTGCAGCGTCCGGGGGAGCCGTCTCTACAGCCACCGAGGCAAGCGCCGGCCTCGGTACGTACGCATCTCAGCTCTGCTCCCCCCTCCGCGCTGCGTTCCTCTCTTCGCATATCTCGGCGAATCAGTCGAGCTCCTCGGCAGATTCGCCGGATTTATGATGGGGAATAAGTTGTGAAGTAGCGACGCTGTGAGTGCTGTTTGATATGCATCTGTTCTGGAGGGCTCGAGCAGTAATTTCAACCTATCACTGCTCTGGCGCGAACCGAATGGTTGGGCAGTTACGATTGTTGGCATAATAAAGGATGGTTTTCTCCTGATTTAGTTTCATCAGACAACAGTCTAGGATGCCAATTCTTTCGGGTTTTTTCCCCCTCATATCTCAATTATTTAGATTTACCTGAACTATTTTAACAACAACGACCGTGCCATTTTTCATTGGTAGTTCCTGGCACAGATGTTATCAGCATCAAAGCTACTCAGCAAAGGACCCGACATCTCCAGTCTTTATATGATCGTTAAGTACACTATCTACATTATCTGCCATTACCTCTACTTTTGACACGGTTCTAAGGTTTTCATTTCTTCTAAAACTGTTTCTGACAGAAAACATAGTTTCATATTTCTTGCCTCAAGAGAGTTTTGTCTAGTGTACTCTCATAATTAAAACTGTGGAGAATAATTATAGTAGTTACATTTGGTTGCTTCATTGATTTCTATCTGCCAGTGCTTGTTGCCCCCTCTTTTTGTGTTATATAAGAAAAGGCAAGATATGTTCCAGCCAAATTTTATTCAAGCTGAAATAGTTTGAATCATTCCCCTTGTTCTGTGAGAATCTAGCTAGTTATAGATTCTGGCACCTGTCCGAAACTCCAAATTATGCTCTTAAACATTGGGTTTCACTGTCCACAGGCTCTTAATATTTGTTTGACAGCTCTTTAACTCTTCTAGGATGCTGTCTAGTTATATTATGTGTCAGTCCCCTGCTTTCTATGCTGACTGAGTGGTTCTTATACGTTGCTTCCTCACATTCAGGCCACACCATTTTTCAGCACGCGTACCACCGCAATTTCTCGTTGGCCAAGGCTTAAATCTCTTGAAGCCATCAACAAACTGAAGTCTTCCTGCTTCCATCAATCTCAAATGATGGCAGGTGTCACAAATGGCAATTCACACAGTGATATTCAGAGGAAATATCAAGTTGTGGTTGCTGCTACCCGTGAGATGGGCATTGGGAAGGACGGAGCATTGCCATGGAAGCTGCCTAGTGACCTTAAGTTTTTTAAGGATCTCACAATGGCTACAGCAGACCCATCAAAGAAAAATGCTGTTATAATGGGAAGGAAAACATGGGAAAGCATACCCACTAAGTTTAGGCCATTGCCCGGTCGCTTGAATGTTATACTGACTCGTTCGGGCAGTTCTGATTATGCAACTGTTGAAAATGTTGTAACCTGTGGAAGCTTGGATTCTTCCCTGGAACTACTAGCATCCGCTCCCTACAGCTCAACAATTGAGAAAGCCTTTCTAATAGGTGGTGGCCAGGTACTGAGGTGAGTTATTCGCTTTTCCTGGAATATTTATTTGATGCACATTGTTTCTAGCTGTTCTGGCATCATGTCTGGTGTTAACTTCAATCACAAATTTTTGATGCAGGGAATCGTTAAATGCATCTGCATGTGAGGCCATCCATCTTACTGACATAGAGTCCACCATTGAGTGTGATACTTTCATTCCTCCTATTGATCCATTGGTCTTCCACCCATGGTATTCATCTTCTCCAGTTGTGGAGAACAACATTAGGCATTCTTTCGCGACCTTTGTTCGCGTTAGAAAGTCAGCAGAAGAGGCTAATGATTCAAATCTCAGTGAATTAACCAGCAATGATGCTAAGAAGGAAAAGTTTGAAATTCAGAATTTTTCATTTCTACCAAAAATGATCTTCGAAAAGCATGATGAGTATCAGTATCTCAATCTTGTTCAAGATATACTACGAAGTGGTGCTCGGAAAAATGACAGAACAGGAACAGGAACAATATCAAAATTTGGTTGTCAGGTGCTGTCCCCAATTTTTCTCAGTATTCTTATTTAGATTTGATGATGGAAAGAAAGCTAATATTTGTTTTCTTCTTACCAGATGCGGTTTAACTTGAGGAAGAATTTTCCATTACTTACAACAAAGGTATTACATATGCTTTTTGTTGAATATATGCACTTTTAATTTTCGAACATAACAATACTGAAGTCAGTGTGCTTGCTAGTGGAAGTCCAGACTGCAATGCTCTTTGGTTCTATTATTTTGGTGATCCTTTATTTGAAGGAAATTTTAGGAACATGGATGAATTGTCAATTGATAAAAATACCAGCCTTTTCAAGTTTAAGAAATGGCAACTGCATCAGGCTAGTTAATTTTGTTCAAATGCATGCCAAGCATGATATCGCTTAGGGATTTGCAGAAACTTGTTGATTTTGGTTAATCTATCTCCTGTATGTACTTCATGGAACCCCAGTTTCTCAAATGCACAAAAAATTCTCTAATTTATTACACATATGTTTCATAATAATTTTGTCATAATATGAAAGGAATCAATTCAATTCCTATAGGAACCTGAGAAGATAGCTGCGATCTTTATTGGGCTATTGGACATCAGTATTTGTTTTTTCTTAAGCTCAGACAGTTCTGAAGTATTTTTTTAATCTTTACCAGTATAATCTTAGACACTCACATGATATGAGATCCTTACATCCTACTCCCTCCGTTCCAAAATAGATGACCCAACTTTGTACTAAAGTTAGTACAAAGTTGGGTCATCTATTTTCGAACGGAAGTACAAAGTTGGGTCATCTATTTTCGAACGGAGGGAGTAGCTCTGAAGTCCCGTTTTCCAGTCAATTGCAAAAACTGGATACCAATTAGATCGTAAGCTTCTTTTTTATCAATTAGGGACGCAAGTGGCGAGGCGCATATCCCGAAACCCAGTACTTGCTAGTATTAATTTTGCTGCCACTGCACTAATTGAGGAGTTTCACAGGGCAAGTGGGCTGCTGCTTGCATCCCTATTATCAATTGCACTTTCGTGACCAACATGCAAATGTATTGTTCTATGAGTTTCAGACATCACACAGTTTGGTAATATTAGCTCATACACCAGTATAAAAGAAATTCTTGCTCTGAATCATGAACAGAAGTTTTGGGTATTATCTCCTCTGTGGCCTGGTTTATATATTCAGAGAGCAGAATATTTTACCTCGATCTTTAATGCATTGTTTTGTTTTTTATATGGTTTTTCTAGAGGGTGTTTTGGCGTGGTGTTCTTGAAGAACTGTTGTGGTTCATCAGTGGCTCAACGAATGCAAAGGTATTTGAATATTTATTTTCGTTGAGCTGTGCAGTCCTTAAGTTTACATGTTGAATAGCGACTTTTGGGATTGGTGTCTTGGCTGCATGATGGTAAAAAAGACAGGTAATGAACCTTCCTCATAGAGGAGTATGCACTCTGTGGCCACTGACATATTTCTGATTATGGATGCTCCTTCATACCATATTGTGGTGTTCACCTTAGAACGTGCTTCATGGAGCATCTCTGCAATTACGCCCATGTGTAATCAAGTACAATGGCTATTTTGGGACTAGCCTTTTCTGAATAATCCTCTTACAGAAATTTAAACACTTCAGGTGTCCGTCAAGTTTTTTTTTCCAATCGGATACAAATAGGTGATCGCATGCATGTTATTTTACTGGCTATTCATGTTATTTAATATTTGAAGGCAACTCGTGTGTTTAAGCTGTTTGGGTCAACTCTTTCGAGCTTCTAAACGATTGTATCCTAGTTAGCTATTTGAGTTTTAGCCTGTTTGCTGCATTTCAGGACTAGATAGTAGGTCAATATTGCTGTAATGCATCGATGGTCCCCCTTTTCATGACAGTGTCCATAAATTTTTATTTACAGGTTTTACAGGAAAAAAATATCCGTATATGGGATGGGAATGCGTCAAGGGAGTATCTTGACAGGTAACATCTCTTGGATATAACTGCACAGAAATAAAACAGCATAACATCCTAAACTTTGATCTGCCTGGCATATTTTCTAGTATTGGTCTATCACAAAGAGAGGAGGGTGACTTGGGACCAGTTTATGGATTTCAGTGGAGACACTTCGGTGCTGAGTAAGCTTACATTGGTTTAAGAACTCTCTTGTTCCTTAACTGTGCCTGTCTTACTGTGTTCTAAACTGTCTTAACATATTTCACAGATATACTGACATGCATGCTGATTACACGGGGAAAGGTTTTGATCAGTTAGCTGATGTCATTAACAAGATCAAGAATAACCCTGACGATAGGCGTATCATTATGTCTGCATGGAATCCAACAGATCTCAAGAAGATGGCACTTCCACCTTGCCACATGTTTGCACAGGTTAGTAACTTAGTGTAACTTTTCCTTATTACTTTTGTTATCCGGAAATCCTTATTACTATTGTATACATCATTAGGTGGCTGCAATTCTGCACATGACCGTAGTAACCATTTTATCTGTATTAAATTGCTCCTATGTTTTCTCGTGGAAGTTGCCTATAGACTAAGGCTGTCCTCTGTGAGGATTGTAGATTGCTTTCTTTTCCCTGTTTGTAAATACATTTACTGTATTTTGCAAAAGAAAAAAAAAGCTCCAATGCCTCTATATCTGCTTGTAAGTGGATTATTATGATGTTTTCAGACATGGGTATCTTGTTGAAAATGGTTGATTTTATAATCATTTCCCCTTATTATTGCTTCTATAAACAGTTAATGTGCCATTTTCTTCTCTTAGCAGCTTATTTAGATATCATATTTTATATCTTGCCTTGCAGTTTTATGTCGAGAATGGAGAATTATCCTGTCAGATGTATCAACGTTCAGCTGACATGGGGCTTGGTGTACCATTCAACATTGCATCATATTCTCTTCTGACGTGTATGCTTGCACAAGTTTGTGGTAAGTTTTTTACTTCTTGACTTCTTTTTTGTCAATCTCTTTTATTTGCTAAGGCTTGGAAATCATATTAAAATCCTAGCTTGTTTACTTTTGTTTCATGACAATTTGGTTTGTTGTTGTTGAAGACTTGGCGTTTTGCTTGTTCTATATGCTATGTCATTCTGTTGTCACTTGGAACTAGTTAGTTTGTATAGATTCAAAGTCATTTTGTTTTCTTAAAAAAAAGTAGATCCTAGTTTATAATTATGTGAAACTAAAAGGGCTGCAATAAGTGGGGGAAAATACGACCTATAACAGGCTATGTCTCACCATGATTGAAGCTTACAATAACATTTTCCTTTTCCTCTGTGGACAACCAATTTTTTTCCTCAATAAACACAATGCCTTGCATCTGGATGTATTGGGAGATATTAAAAGTTATTTACATGCCCATGAATGCATCTAACAACCCAAAATACAACGCATGCCTTTAGGTGCTATGCACCGCTGGAAGTAGCGGCTCGATGCCTACTGCCCCTGCCTGTCAAGTTCATCTTTCAAGGTTTCTTTTAACAATTTCGGGTGCTATGTGTGGTCCCTTCAAAATTGAATAATTCTGATCTCCGAGTAGTCTATGCTCGTTCATGAAAAATCCTTTGCCAGTATGGTGTTAAGATCCAACAAAGTTTCCTCCAGCTGAAGATCAACTGTTCTCTCTGGGCCACCTGCTGTACAGTCATATTTTTCTCTTTGATAGTGGAGAATAATTCACAGGGACTTGAGGCCCAACAGACTGCCCTCACACAGGCCCCTCCAAAGGAGTCCATAAATCCCATTACCTATTAAGTAGATGAATAAGAGTGCAGAAATCCCATTACCTATAGATGAATGTGCAGCAAGACTGCAACACCTGTATAGTTATCCAACAGTTTCAGGTTATCTCTCAGCAGAAGAACCATAAGAAAGTCTGTTGCGAAGTAATCTGAATTCTATTAGTACCATTATTGGACGTGACTCTGCGGGTGAAACACTTGTTAGACACGCCATTGAGATTGATGCGGGTGACAGAAAAAAAGCTTTCCACAATCCAAACCCATCCACTTATAACTTATGCCCAAAACCATTATATACTGTTTTTTTTTCAAACAGTGCTTTGTGCATAATCTTGTCAAAAGCTTTCTCCGACATTTTAAATATATGATAGAGAATTAGAGATGCAACCTGCGGCATATTCAAATGCCCAACAATAGCAGTCCTGAGTAGTTCTGCATTTGTGAAAACCATAGTTTGTTTGGTATGACTAGTTTAAAGAATAATACTCCCTCTGTAAACTAGTGACCCAATAAAACATCTTATATTAGTTTACGCTTTACGGTGGTAGTAGCTTTCAACCTGTTAATCTATAACTTCATCAGCAATTTCAAAGTGCTCTTTTGCAAGGACATATGCCTCAGTCATTTTGTCACTTGCAAAATTCCATATGAAATATTCTTAACATACTACTGCAAGGAGCATCGGATCTTCTTTTAATTGTTGTTTTTATCTTATATGTTTTGCATTGAGTTGCTATTTGCTAACAACTTGGATAACACATATTACTCTTCCCCCTTGGTCCTGAAAATATAAAGAACAATCCAGTAAACTAAAAGAAATGTTTTCTCAGAGATGTGTGTAGAAGTTCTTGGATCCTGACACTTGATGCGTGTGCAGATCTTTCTCCTGGAGAGTTTGTCCATGTGATAGGCGACGCCCATGTGTACAGCACGCACGTCCAAGCCTTGGAGGAACAACTTCAGAAGCAGCCCAAGCCGTTTCCTGTAAGCATTCCTCAAGCAGAGCATGACCATGTTGTACGAAAAGCAGCCGGGGACAGTTGCTGACCCCGCCTTTGCATCTGAGTAATCTGTGTATCTGACTATGTTTGTTTGACATGGATGTAATTTGCAGATTCTGAAGATAAACCCTCTGAAGAAGGATATAGACTCGTTCGTCGCGTCGGACTTCAAGCTGGTCTCCTACGATCCTCACCAGAAGATAGAGATGAAGATGGCAGTATAAACCAAGGAGTTAATCAGCATCCAGCATTCGTAACAGCATACGACATGTATCGTTGATGGTGATGATGCCTTTGTTAAACCATGATTCGTGACGGGATCTCTAGGCAATCTTTTTTCACTGAGCGATCGATGCCTTGTTGGATCCCTGACCATGGCATAAGCTGGCTGGCGAATGTGTGCAAAATAGTGGGATCTTGGTTGGTTGCTACCAGTAGCGGCTAGCGAGTTGTTTATTTCTCATTTTGCATTTCCGAAGTTTTATGCAGTGATGGCAGGGTCATGTTCCTCGCTGCTTCTAGTCAATCCAGCCCCATGTGTTGCCATGGCAGAAGGCCTGCTCCATGGTCTGCCGCCGGTACATCAGCTGGGATGGATGGATACAACCGGGTCGTCGTCAGCTCTGGTTGCATCCACGCCATCAATTCCATATCAGACGAGGGGGGCAGGTGGCCAGCTGTGGCCTCCACTATCGAACAAACTACTCAGTTGTATGACAAAAAGCCTTCGAGAGGACCCAAGGAAGGTCGAGGACGGCTTCATCACAGGCTCACAAGTCACAAAGCTTCTTAACTGCCAAGAAACAAACAGTGTTTGGCGCCTTTGCGAAGCATATTCATTCCGTCAAAGCACCCGCCAAAAAGGTGCTGCTTTACGAATCACGGACGCACTAATTCGATGTTCGTGACTATGCAGCCGGAATGAGCTTCACGCAAAGGATAACTTTTTAAAGGTAATTAAAATCAGAGGGAGTTTTTTCTTTTGAACATCAGTACAGACACAAGCGCTCATACATACACGCATACACTCATCTTTATGAACGCATACTCTATCCCTGTGAGCACCTCTGAGAGAGAGCCGGCATCTCATCTTGAAATTTATGAAGTCACGTAGGCATCTCGTCGTCGACGGGAACGTCTCCTCTTACTAAAAGTGCATCACCGAAAATTCTGAAATAAATCCAGAAAAAACCCTAAACAACCACTACTGCCACCAGAGCGAACCGCCGACGTGCCGCTGTCGCTGCTCCCCTACCAGAGCCGGCTTGACCTTGTCGATGACAGCTGGGAAGTCTTCGTGCACGTGCCCCTAAGAGCTAGCACCCTGGAGCCGCAATTATCGAGTTGGTAATCGCATGTGGTTAGACATAACAAGCACTTCATCTCCTTGATCCTTTTGATCAATCATGCACTCGATGTTTACATGCTTAAAAACCTTTAAAATACCATTGATTTTTTGTATGCGTGAAATACAACATTTATAGTGAAGCTCTAAATGTCGAACGAGGGAGATGTTTTTCTCAGAAAAAAGTACATGCACCTATTTTTTCTCATACCGTGAGCAACCGTCGTATCGCTTGCCGAATCGGTAACCCCATGTGGTTAGAGGTAAATCAAAGATTAATACGTAATTACTTGATTAATTAATTCTAAAACGGTAATGTCACAAAAGTATCTATGATCTAGTACCGGTTCGTGTCTATATAAGTGATGGCATCCAAAAGGCAGAATGAGTGTTGGCTCTTCCGTCCATCCACATCACGTCATCCATATAACCTAGTAAAACAATTCATAAAATATGGTAGTGTGTATTGAACTGCCCATTTGCGCATTAGCCCTTCTTCTTCTCTTTTTTCTTCACAAATAGATCCTCATTTCTTTAGTCTGTACCCCCCAGCTTACTTCTTTTCTTCACGCTCAAGTCCATTAACATATTGATGCAACAGAAGCACTTCATCTCCTTGATCCTCTTAGAATAATTTGCGCCTTATTGATGTATTGTTCTACGAATATATTTCAGAGAATATGGATTTTTGTGTTTGGACATATTAATTACCATACCAATGAGAATTTTTTTTTTGAGGAAAGTGCCAATTAATGCCACGAAGTGATGAGAGAAATAGTGTGAAGATAATGCTCATCACCTAGTAAAACAATTCGTCAAACAAACAATGCTCAACACCTCTTTAAAGCATATTCCGCCAAAGACACCCATCCAAAAGGTGATACTGTAAAATACTAAGTCGTCCTTTGATATATAGGATAGGAAGAAAAATCATAGAAAATGATGTGGCATGTATCTCGGTTTCTATATGAAAAGAGACATCATTTGATTCACATAATATGAAATTTTCCAACAGATCCAAGTTAATGTTTTTCTTATGAAACGTGAAAGATAGAAACTAATCATACGTGGTACTAAAAAATACACTGCTACAACCAAAGAGCTCTACAGGAATTTCATTTTATAGAAAATATATATTCTAATGTTGAATTCCTATACCCCGCATTTTGTTGTTGTTGAATTCATATAAATTCCTACAAATTAAAGAGTCCTGACTAGATTTACAATTAGTACTAGCTATTATTGGTATAGATATGTTCCAAAATTACGCTTCAATCCTCACGCCGAAGACCCGGAGTCTAACGAGTCCTACATAAATAAAACCGACTCGCTCGTTTTCTGTTCCTATCCCCCCGCAACAGACCCCAAACCCGCACCAAAATCATCCCCACAACTCGCCGAGCCCAAAACCCCAGCCCTCGATCGCCCACCCCGATCGATGGCGTCCGGCGAGGCCTCGGCATCGGCATCCGCGTCGGCGGATCGAATCCGCGTGGTCGGCGCGTGGGCCGGCGCCCTGGAGGTGGAGCTGGGCGCCTGGACGGTGCCGATGCTGCGGGCGGAGGTGGCGCGGCGGGCCGGGGACGTGGAGCCCGACCGCGTCGGCCTCATCTTCGGCGGCCGCGTGCTCAAGGACGATCCCGCCGGCGTCTCGCTGCAGCAGGCCGGCCTAAAGAGCAACGCCAAGGTGCTCTCCACCCTCGCCTCCCCCGATCGCGGCAAGGCCCTCGCCGCCGAGGCCGCCGCCGCCGCGGCCGAGGAGGAGCACTCCAACAAGCTCGTCAGGCTCTGGTGAGGG